ATCGATATTCTGTGAAATGCTAATGCACATACACACACATATATGGACCACATTTTTGGATAAATTATATTTATAATTATATAATTAGACGTAACTAATCATTAATAATGAAAGAGATAGCGATATATATATATTTAGATATGTAGTAGTTTCAAAATAAAATATCTCGCGTTCGTATTTCTCAGATTCCTAAATCAAATTCAGAAATCATATGAAATAGTCATATAAATAAGTCATGAATCTTAAATATCTCGTTATAAATATAGGAAATGTCTCTATTCTTGCATGGATATAGATTATTTCCTTATTTTTATATATTTTTAGCAGTTACAATCCAAAATTAATTAATTTCAAACTGTCAATTGACGCGTTATAAATAACTTAAAAGAATCATATAGTATAGTATAGTATTAAATCGCATACAGATGATCGAATGTTTGATACTTGACGTTGATTCAGCTATAGATAGATCCTTTTTGTCGTCGATCGCAAAGGCTAACGTTCGTGCGTTATATGGTATCACCGGTTTTCACAGTGCCGATAAATATCAGCTGCGTCGTACGTGGCCGTCCACCATGGCGTTCCTCGCCTTTGGCGATTAGTCACGTTTCGATTTCGTGGGATCGACCGCTGCGCGAAATGGGCCGTCTGCTAAACAACGCGTTTTAAACGGCAGTAGTTTGCCACATGTCCCCGTAAACTTTATTTCAACAAGTTCGGATCTTTCGAAACTAGATACTCTACCTTTGAAATCTTGCAAAAATGATTATTTAATCTTAACGACTTTTAACACGATATTAAATAGATTAAAGTATATTTTTAGTAACGCACACCTACAGAAGTGAATCCATAGTTGCGGTGAACCTTTTATGAGCCGAGTAATATATCAGTAATGATTAAACGATAACATTTACGTTCCGCGTATCGAAAAAAAATTGCATTATCAGTCAGCTGTCGAGCAAACGATTAATTGTGTCGCTGCGCGCTTTATATCGCGCAATATGACTTTACGATTGCGATACGAAATACGAGTGTTTTCAGAGCGTACTTTCCAAAATTCAACAAATCGGCAACAAATCGATAACACGCAAAATCATCCATCATCCGTATGTAACCATCACGGCGTTCGGTTGATTCTCGATTCTTATCAGCGCTTCAGTGGAGTGTGACCGCCTTTGCGCGAGATTGCGACGCGAACGCAATTTAAAACGGAACTTGGAATGAGAGATTATAGTCGCGCGCGCGCGCGCGGCCTTCTGTCGCGTTATCGACCGCTTAATCACCATCAAGGCGCACCTATCACCGATAACAGCGCCCGATCTGTGTGCGCGGCTCCGTATATTTCTCCGATGCAAGACAAGCCGCGACCTTTCCGCGCCGACAAAAACAAAAGGATCGAATTTAATAGCCCAAAGACGCGAACGCGAAACGATGCGTTCGCTCGACAAATATTCCTCGTCCAGAAACAACGTCGAGTTATCCACATTCGTGTGTGCCGAATGCTCGAGGAGTTAAAGCACCCCCTCTTTTTTTTTTCATTAAACTCGTTAGTTTCGGAATAATAAAAGTTTTAAAATTCGTTCTTTTATCTCTTCACTTTTGCCAAGTTTGAAAAGTAGAGGGGGGAAAAAAAGAAGGGCGCGAGAAGTCTTTAGAACGATTCTCGATCCGAGACAGGCCACATCGATCGAACGGGCAATCGATGATGCACTCGGATGCGACTCATCGGCAAGCGAGACATGTATACCATCGATCAAACCGCAACAGTGTGCTTCCCCCGTGTTAAGCTAGATCCACAACTAAGCAGAAGTGTGTACGGTTCACGCACGGTTCATGGATTATGCACAATCTACATAGATCACATGATAGTTCACGTAGACGTAAACTATTGTTGCTTACCCATAGATACCCGATACAGCGACAGCGGACAGCATCACGCTATAGAGCTTTGTGCGAATAGCAAACCTGCTGTCGGAACGGGCTGTTTAATTTTCGGTGGAAAGTAAAGTTCTTTCCTACTTACTTTGAATAGACAAAGAGTATGAAACGCAATAAAAACATGTACGCGTAAAGAGAAGAAGAGAGAAAGGAAAGAGAGAGAGAGAGGAGCTCTCTTATTACAATGTTGTTTGTACATATGTCTCTAAAAATCTTTAGAACTTTTTGACCGTATAAACACCAACTAAAATAAAGTTTACTGTAAAGTTAACTGTAAAGTTTACTGTTAAAATGCTTTCAACTATCATCGTCAAGAAACGTACATAATTCTATTTTTATAATTCTGAATATTACAAGAAAAATATTGAAATGGAAGAAAATAGATAATATTTACTTTTAATAAACGTACAAAGTTAATTTTGCCAAACTCGTTTACTCGATTTCTATTATCTCAAATATATAAGCTTATTCCACTATTGATTAGACGCTCTAGCGTAGCATCTAGGAAAGAACAAAACATCACAGGACAAAGCTGTGAAGACAAAATAACCTCTTTTAAGCCGGATCGACAATTTTGGAGGCAGCTCCGAGTTTTCCTTACGAGCAAGTTGAGATCCTCGCGTTAAACGTGCCATCGGGAAAAACGTGGAAAGACGAAAAACCGAGGAAGAGAGCCGCAACTTCTCGACTGTCGCAAGAAGTGCCCTCGCGAACGCGCGACGCGCATCTCTCGCTGCTCGCTCGATTTAGGTCGTTAACGGTAAAACGCCGCGAGGAAGCGACTCGCGAAACCGAGGCAGATCCGTTACCGATGGTGGTTCTCGATTTTGCCGGCTTAGCTCGCTCTGAGAACGACGAGAGAGTCGGGTACATCTATCTCGCGAGAGAATTGTTTATCGGACGGTACCGCGCTTCTTTTATCGCCCGACACTTCGGAGACGAATCCGGAAAACTGACCGGAAACTTAAGCCTTTAAATCCCTAATCGTCGAGACATCACGCGCTAAAGAATTTTACTCAGAAATATTCATCGAGAATATAACGTTTTTTAAACGGTATATTTTCGTTTTAAAAAAACTCGAATTAACACGATCGCGTAGATCGATTTAATAAGAAAAAAGTCGCTCGCCCCAGAATAAATCTGCAATACCGCAGTGACGTGCCAGGCATGCAGGGATCAACCCCTTGCCCTTCAGACTATTTCAGGTCCGTGTTACAACGGCAGAGATGCATAATAAATTCGGTAATGTCGGACTTCCGTGTAACACACTTTGCTGCACGTAACGCTCGCGGAGTTACGTAAGCGCGGAAAAGCGCGTTAATAGTAGTCGATATTCCAACGGCGGATAAGAGTTGTACGCCGTCACCACACGTCACCATTGTCTCTCCCATGGCTTTTTTCTACGGGACGACCTTCTCGCTATCGCGATTATCGCGGATACTGCGAGAAAAGCAACGGGAAAGATTTCCGTGCGCGGCGGAACGCGATCGCGCACCGCTAACGAATGCGTTTCTCGCGCGACACGTCTAATTACTCGCCTCGCTTCCACGCGCGCCGTTCCCTCGAGGACGAGCCTCCTCGAAGGACGCGCGAAACCGTCCGATCCGTTACGCCATTGCGACATTAACGAAATTACCCGATGCCATTTTGATTACGTAGTATTTCGGATCTGCGAATTTTTATCATCTGTCTCATTAAATGTCGCTTAGCGACATCTGAGTGAATTTCATTTTCACATTTAAATTACAATTTTAGCTGAAGGTGCGAAACAAGCTCTAACAAATTATGAGATATTTATACTAAACACTAAGATAGAAAGAGATTATATCTTGATAATATTATTTTTCAAAACTTATGTCATTTAATATGAAAACATCTCTGTACATATGGTAATGTAATATAAATATAATTCGATTTGTCGTAATCGAATTTAAAGATTCTTCGCATCTTCGAGAATTATATTACAATACCAATATTTAGAAAAGAGATTGAGTAAAAAAAAAAGTTATAACGAAAAAAAAGTTAAAACGACTTTAATGAAAATCTAAAACGTCTGGGACGCGCGAACGGGAGGAGGGAGAAACGAAAATAATATCCTGTTTCTCTTTTTCTACAAAACACGCGAATACTTTCCGCTCACGTGCACTGTCGTATGAATGCGTAATGGAACGACCGAATGCATGCGCTATGAGGGAAATGCAAACATACATATTTCACTCGCAGTGCGTGCATTCGTTCATTCGTTCGTTCCTTCACGTCTTCATATAGCATAATGCACATGGGTGACAAATACTCATTTGTCTCGTAGGTAGAAAGAAAAAGAAATGTTTAGAAAGCTATGCGCTCGCGCTTCCGTTTCCCTCCATCTTTCTCCAACGCTTCAATATTCAACAATGTCGATGCTCCATTTATCTATCGTACGTCGCGTATATGCATTTCTGATTTTTCACTTCGCTAAAATCCATCTCTCCATCTTCTCGATAAAAGTTTATCCATTGTTTATTTATTCGGTTTCATTTATTAATTCAGTTTAATTTTCCATATTATAAATATGAAAGAAACAATTTAAAATTGTCGCATTCTTTCTAATTACTGTAATATCTACGACACTGAAATCATTTATCTGCGTTTACATTAAAAGCAAAACATTAAAATTTGCTTTATAAACCGCGTAAGTAAATTCACAACAGTTTCGTTATTTCGATTGATTACTTTGAAATTCGGATTCAGGTTTCACGGATGAATGAACGGAATCAAATTAAGAGAGAATTATAATTTCAATTCTTTTCCCGTTTTTCGTGCGAAACGTTCGTAAAAGAAACACATGGAAACACGACACGTATAAATATCGCAACGACTTTCATGAAAGAAATCCCGATTATAGTTATCGCTATTACGAAAAAATGCTCGCTGATATCGACAAAATACGCGCGTAATAAATAATTACTTTTCACAATCGGGGTGTGTAGGTCAATCGGAATATCGTGAGCATTACCTTTGGTGGTCCATGGCATTTCGAGGCAAGTGAAAAATAAGAAATAACACTCTGTGTAAAAACTCACGAGAGAGGGGAACTTCCTGTGGCGGGCACACGTCCGAGCTCTTTCCACTCTCCTTCGCGAGGTCGCCGGCTGGTTTATTCCAGGAACGCACAAATCCGCCGTATCACCTTCCACGATTTCACGAGAGCTCCTTGTCGGACATCAACGGTGGTCGCTCTCTCACTCCGTGCGATGGATTCCACACGACGATCAACGAAACCGCAATGGGAACGTCGCGTCGCACACCACGAGTCG